GTAGTCGTGGACCCGCATGGAAGTTTTGTGCTTGCATGGCTATTCAATAGTCCCCGGGGTGGGGCTGGCAGCCAGTGTGCTCCAGCCCCACTCCCGGGGCGCCCCCGCCAGCCTATGCCGCTGCCTCTGATACAAGGTAGGGCTGTAAAATTGCGATGAATCAGCTATCCGAGTAGTCGATGGCATTTCCAGCAGCCTGGCTCCTGCTGCATTTTCGCTGCAGAGCGGCAGCAGGGGTAGCTCTCTGAGGCAGTGTGATGCGGGACTGAGCCATCCCCGCTGCGCTGCCGCCTTTTCCATGTACTGAGAGACTCTGGGCTCTAACTACATTTAAGGCAGAGCTGCTGTGCTTCTGCCTCCTCCGCCCCCTCCCCACACTGGGGCTGCGGCTCCCCCCAGCACCAGCTCCTGCTTCCCCCATGCTTGCCTCCTCTGATATAGAGGCAGCAAGGGGGGGGGGATGCAAGTAGGTGACGTGAGTACCCAGTAAGCCTCGGCTTCTCGGGCAGTTGACTGTTCGCCTACCCTTTTACATCCCTAATATAAGGCAGCAGCCCCTGTCCGCACGGGGACCCAGCTCCCTGCGGGCAGAGATTGCGCCAGCCTCTGTCTGCAAGGAACTTGGCCCCCTGCGGACAGGGGCTGCTGGCACAAAGCAGCCTCTGCCCGCAGCGGGCCCAGCCCCCCCGCAGACAGAGGCTGTTCTGCAGCAGCCTCCCGTGGCCCCCTCCCTCCCTCTCCCCACTGCCTCTGATAGAGGGAGCAGTGGGCAGGAGGGCAAATGGCTCACATGAGCTGATGCAGTGGTGCGGGGGGGCAGGCAGCATCTCCAGCTCCTGCTTCGCTCCCCCTTGCTGCCTCCGATACAGAACTGTTATCAGTTTTGCCAGCTAGTGGTGCGTGGACATTAGAGTTCTCCAGGAACAGTAGTGAAATGAGACTTTCAAGCAGCCGACGGTGCCCCTTCCAGGCAGCAGTTCTCCAGCTGTGGTTCTGCAGATCCCTCTTTGTGCCTTCGCGCTCAGCCCCGCAGAGCACAGTGTAAAACGCCAGCCCCCAGGAGTCTGACGCAGCGAGCACAGGGCGGGTGGTGTCCGCCCGGCGCAGAACGGACGGGGAAGCGGCGGGGCGGCGTTCAGCTGTGGCGGATGCGCTTGTCCATGGGCTCATGCCTCTCTGGTGTTGCAGCTCGGAATCCCCCACTCCTTCGTGATGGTCAGTTACCAGCATAAGTTTCAGGATGAGGATCAAACCCGAGTCAAAGGTTCGCTCAAGTGAGTATAAGTGGGGCTGGGGTGGTCTGTGGGGCCTGCGCCAGAGCAGCCGACAAGGAAACCCCAGGCAGAGGTGCTGCAGGCTGGTCTGAGGCCTGGGCTTCTCTTGGGGTTTGTTTCTGTTAATGTGGCGTTAGGAAGGGTCCCGGTCTCGGACTGGGCCGAGTCCTTGTCCCCTTCAGCTGGGGTCTGGGCCTGCATGGCGCTGGCGTGTGTAGCCCCATTGGTTAGCGACCCTGCTCTGGCTGTTTGAGGTGGTCTTTGGCCGCAGCCCACAGCCTTGAGTAATGGTTGTGCCCAAGACCCCGGCTTCAAACCCTGCCTGACCTGCCCAAGGGCTTTTCCCTGCAGTGCCAGACCGTCACGCTGCACCGCGCTTCAGCTGGGGTCTGGGCCTGCATGGCGCTGGCGTGTGTAGCCCCATTGGTTAGCGACCCTGCTCTGGCTGTTTGAGGTGGTCTTTGGCCGCAGCCCACAGCCTTGAGTAATGGTTGTGCCCAAGACCCCGGCTTCAAACCCTGCCTGACCTGCCCAAGGGCTTTTCCCTGCAGTGCCAGACCGTCACGCTGCACCGCGGCTGGGCAAGCCCCCATTCGTGGCAGTGGAAGGTCTGCTCAGGGTGTGAGCACTGTGGCTGGGCAAGCCCCCATTCGTGGCAGTGGAAGGTCTGCTCAGGGTGTGATGCAGTGGGGCATCGTGCTGGTCGCTAGGCTTGGGCGATCTGCACTGTCACAGGGTTTAAAGGCCGGTCAGGGAGAACGCAGTGAAACTCCTCTCATGGAGTGTTGTCTGAGATCTGTAGGTCCAAGCCAGGCCCCTGGTCCTCAGTTGTGGTCGCTCCGGGAGCTGGCTACCGTCACTGCCTTGGTGTAGGCAAGGATCCTGCGGCCCTGTTAGGACCATCCAGACTGGGATAAGGGAAGGGGAAAGTCACCTCTGGGGTCCAGGCCTTGCTAGACCTCCCATCCCAGCACAGGTACTGACGCTCCCAGCCCCTCTGCTACCGAGATCCTGGCGCTGGGTAAGACGCCAACACTTTGCACTGAGACGCTTTCCGGTGACCTACCTCGCTCGGCATCGCTGTCCGCTCTGGCCTCAGTGCTTGGAAGCACAAGGGCTCCGAAGACCAGCTGGGATCGGGGTTGGTACCTGCCTGTCAGCGAGCCAGCCGAGAGTGGGCCCGGATTGCGCTTGGACTGTCTCCAGACCACCTGACTCCTGAGGGCTCAGGCCGGAGTCCCTGGCACCGTGCTGTCTCCTCCTCCATGCGGACTCTGGAGGGATGTGAGTGCCCATTGCTGAGCCAGGACTGACTTACCTCTGGAGTTGCCTAATCTCTGTCCTGCCATTGATGTTGGGGGCTTGTCCTCCCGCCCACCATGGTCACCAGCCTGCACAGACTCTTTAAGGCTACTGAGGAGGTTTTCCATCCAGAACTGAGACACTTTCTGGCACCGTCTAACTAGCCAAACAAGTCTTGGTCTCCAGTACTGGCGCCATTCCGGGGCCCTGACTCGAGCACCTGCACTGGTAAGTCCTGCTGGTCCAGCTGACAGACCCGGGGAAGGACACCTCGTCGGATTCCAAGGTGTCCATGCAAGGCTCCTCTGCTTTCCCATGCCAGACTCCCTCCCTCAAGCTGCAGCCCAAGGAATAAGCTCCAACCACAGATACAACCGGCAGCCCTGTCAAGGACAACCCCAGCCCCCTGCCCCATCCACCACAGCGGGGTTATTGGAACCTGTGGCCCCTGATGGTGACCAGCTCTGTCAGGCCCCAGATTGTAAGGGGGCACGCCAGGATCAATAACACCACTCTTGGATCTTGCCCCGCAAGGGCCAGCAGAGAAAGAAGAAGGGCTGTCTTCCCACAGGTTCTCCTTGCCAGACGACACCTGCCTGCCTGCCATTTTATGCTGATGAGTTCAAGGCCTTTCAAGATCTTCTGAAATGGATACCTTCCAAGAGCCCTTACAGATTCCACTGGAGGAGATGAAGGACCCCCGGCATTCCCTGTTGGACACCCTCCATGTGTCTGCTCTTGCCCAACAATTTTAGTGATGCCTAGATTCAAAGGCCAGAAGGGAGGGGCCATTAGGATCATTTAATCTGACCAGTAACAAAGGCCATAGAACTTCCCCAAAATTATTCCGAGAGCCGTTTTTTAGAAAAGCAGCCTGTTTTGAGTTAATAGCGGTCAGCAGTGGAGACTCCACCACGGCCGTTGGTGGATTGTTGCAGTGGTTAAATACCCTCGCTCTCAGAAATGCACCTTCTCTCCAGGCTGAACTTGCCAACCTTCAGCTTCCAGCTACTGCATTCTGCACCCGCAGCCGGTCGTAGGATGCTTTTTGACCTGTTAGGAACCCTTCGTGTTTCCAGTGGATAGCTTATTCCACCAGGGCTCAATCCCAGTGGGCCCTGTGAAAAACAGGGTGTGTCCGACGTCGGTTGGACTCTGGGGTACACGTTCTCCCAGCACGGTGCTAGGCTTGCTTAGAGCTGACGTGGCTTCCAGTGGCCCTGTTCTACGAAATCAGCCTCCTTGGCCCCTCCACTAACACTCGGGCCCGGAAGAGAGGCCCCTCAGAAGAAGGGAGGGGATGGTGCCACCTGATGCACTGGGGTTTCACTGAGCCATACGCTAAGGAAGCTCCCTACAAATAGCAGCTTCTCATTCTCAGTGGTGTGTTAAGCATTTTTCAGAGACCAGACGCCTTTCCCAGCTCGGGTTTTGTCCTTTCTTCCCCGGTTCAGTCTTAGGTGTTGAGCAGTCATCTTGAGCCAGGCGTGAGTGAAGAACAGAACCCGATCCTGATTCTCTCACTTCCAAGCTTTAAATAGGATTTACCTAGGGCAGGAACCTAGATACCCACCCCCTACTAGTGAAAAACTATTAGCAGGCAAGAGGGAGTCCAGGGTCAGGTGACATGACCCTGCAGTGTCAGAGCAGCCAAGAGTCAGGGTTGTCAGCAGCATCTGAGAGAGGTGGGGGATTAGCATTTTCAAATGTCCGTTGTTTCCCCTAAGGCGGGGGTGGGCAATAATCTTTGGTGGGAGGCCACTCCAGGATTTTGATAAGGGGTCAAGGGCTGCACTTTTCTGTGGAGGGGCTGTGGGGTCTAGGATGGTGCAAAAGGGCGCACAGGCTAAGGGACGGGTGCAGCAGACGGTGTGGGTCTGAGAGGGAGTTTGGGTGGAGGAGGGGGTTGTGAGCTGGGTCAGGGGATTGGGGTGTAGGGTCAGGGAGGGGGTAGAGTGCAGGAGGGGGTACAGGGTCTGGGAGGGACTTGTGATCTAGGGCAGGGTGGTGCAGGGGGTTTGGTGGGTGACCTGGGGGAGGGAGTTGGGGGGCAGGAGGGGCAGGGGGGCCCGAGGTGG